CGACAATCTACAGCTTTATGGCCCGCTTCTCCGCAATAGAAACACAAGTTTTGTTCAAACCGTCGCTTCCTTTCCTCAGCTGTGAGGGGTTTGAAACGTACCGCATCAATTTGCATGGGTTCAGGATCTGTGGAGTGATTCTCTGGACCTTTTGAAAATGTAGCAAATGCTCCATCATTTCTCCAGCCTAATCATCTTTCTTGTCGTAATTCAAAGAGGCGGTTGTCACAAATAATTGCCTGATATATAAGTTCTTCTAAAGTATCCGCCTTAGGCATGGTGATCAATAAGTTCTTGACATCATCTCTCAGTCCATATCGAAATCGTGTCATGAACGCCTTATCATTCCAATCAAGAACACATGTAAGCTGTTGAAATTCTGCAGCATAGATTGCAGTAGAACGTGATCCTTGTCGCAGATTTTGTATCTTTCTTTCAGCCACTCTTTCTCGATCGCTATCTCCAAACGCAGCAGTAAGTCTCTCTATGAAAGCCTCTAGGTCGTACAATATTGGAGAATCTTTCTCCAATAGTGGAGCAAACCAAGAGCAAGCATTTCCTGATAGAAGAGTACCTATGAAAGCAACCTGGGTGAATCCATTCGGATAACGAGAAGGGTATAGGCGTAGGTAAAGCCGTACTTGTTGCACAAAACCTCGAAAGTTGGCTCTTGTTCCGTCAAACTTGTCTGGCATACTCGCTTTTGGTTCTTTCGTACTAATCCTTGAAGTATCTATAGGGGTCGTATGTGACACATGTCTTGCTTCTCTCAGTCGAATAATCTCTTGTTGTAGGCTATGAATTTCGCGTCTAGCTTCTTCGGTCACTAGATCAATTTGACGTTCTTTACTTGGATTGCGAAGAAATGCAATCTCCTTTCGTACACTATTCATAAGAGCTTGAAGATCTGCAAGAATTGTCACTCTATTGTCTACTTGTGAAGATGCACTGTCTATGACCTGGTCTACTTCCATATTTAGAGAATAGATGGATTAAAATTTTGAGAGAAGAAGAAATTGCTAAGTCTCTTGGAGAAAATTGTAGCACTACCTGTCACTAAAACCTACTCGGAGAAAAGGAAAAAAAAAAAAAAAAAAAAAAAAAAAAACACTAAACGATTTCAGTTTTAGAGGAGGGTAATCCGCAACCTCTAAAAATGCCTCAATGCTTTCGAGAAGAGGGGTAATCTGCACTTTATCAAGAAGGCAAAGCTCTGAAATCGATGTTAACAGTCTTTTCTACTAGCTATGCTAAACAAAAAGAAGGAATTAATATCAGTCCAAGAGAGGGTAATCCGCAACCCTTAGAACGCTCAAGTATCTCCAAGGAAAGGGGTAGTCCACTCTCTGCCTCAAAGAACTAAGCTCTGATATTGTGATTGAGAAAATATCAGTTTAGAGGAAGGTAATCCGCAACCCCTAAAGCACTAAAATACCTTCAAGAAGAGGGGTAATCCGCTCTCAAACAAGAAGGATTCAGCTCTGATATTAAGATAAAGGTAGTCTCGACAAACTATCACGGACACAAAATACAGACTTGAAATCTAACAAGAAGTTCAAGAAGAAGTGGCAGAACTAGATTAAACAGATGAGTACAAGAACAACACCAGAAAGGTGAGCTAGAACTCCAAGAGATGTGTTGTCGAGACTGAAGAACTCTTCAGCCTCGACTCCTATATATACTACTGGCCTATGGTTCTAAGGAAGCGCATCAAGAAGCTTCCCAAGAACTATGAAGCTTCTCGAGCAACTACCCAAGAGCTAGGAAGCTTCTCAAGTAACTTCCTAGAATCTACTAGAATATTCTAAGAATCTTCTAGAGCCTTCTAAGGGAATCTTTAGGGAATCTTCAAAGAATCTTTAGGGAATCTTTGAAGAATATTCTAAGAGAATATTCAAGGAATCTTCTGGAAGTTTCTAGAGACTTCTTTCTAGAAGGTTCTAGAAACTTGTCTCTAGAAAGGTCTAAGGACTATGTCCCTAACATCGAGTTACGTCTGTGATTGAAGAATTAAAAGGGTGTCTATAGGATTGAGTATGCAGAGTGAATGAAATTTATTGGGTTAGTCTAACAAGACAGTCAGTGGATACAAGATCGTGAGTATAAAGCGGTATCGGAGATTAGTAGATTGGGTTGTTCGGGGTTCTCTGTAACGTCTAGAGACCTACCGACTGGGCAAAAAGGACTTCGGCGAGCAGTCGAAGGGCATCCGTATAGATTTACGGTGTATTCTTGCAGTCGTTTATATTTCAGCAGTCAAAAACTGATAAACTGCTTGACGATTGGCGAATCTCTATACTACCTTCTACAGCCAGATGCGCGGCGCGTTCTCGAGCAGGAAAGTACGTAATACGACAACGTAGAAGCTTTATAGATGCTACTTTGACTTTATAGGTGTCTGTGATTGACTTTTTGTATTAGAAACGTGGTCAACAAGTTGGCCATGTGCCACACATGTTGTTAGCTTGAAGACCAAGCTAACTTTGTGGCCCATTCGTAGAAAAACTTGCCTTGTAAGTTAAGGCATGTGTCCTACAAAGTCAATACATATTGGAGGTCCTATAGAACATCGCCACATAGCCCTTAGTTAGATAATATATATAGAGACAAGAGTGAAGCCCTCTTCACTCTTGTCAACTCTTTTCTTGCTTCTAATTTAGTTTCAAGGGTCTCTAATTTTTTTGTCTTTTGGCAATAGCCATTCTTGTTTCTTTCTTAATATACATATCAAGTTATTTCTATTTTTTCATCTTTCTTTGAAAAAAGTCTCATTTGTTTATTTGTCTTTATCAAGTTCTTGTCCTTGAGACCTGCAAACAATCAGAGAAGAAGACAAGGCATGCCATTTCTTCTCTTAATTTATCTTACACTCTTGGTAATCTACATCTTGTTGAAAATCCACACTTTCATTTGCTCACTCATATTATCATCTTTCAAAACCAACAAAAAAACAAAACACATAATCTTTCAGAAGAGTATAACCTCAATATCGTGCAACAACTTGACATCAAACAACCCATAAATCAAATATTCACTAATTCTCTCACTTATCATAATCCTACTATAGACATGCAACACACTGAACATGACACCAATCCATGCATTTATAATACAATACAAGCAAGTTTACCCTCATTCAAGCATTCACGGGTACCAGACAGGCCAGCTAGCCCGAATCCTTGAGTTAATACAGACACAGCCAGTGTCGGAGTAACCACCATTCTATGGTTTCCAGGAGCACAAAACAGCCACTCTGACATCAGAAAAAGAAGTCAGCTGGTGGTGCAATTGGCACCGTAGAATCCAAGTCTGATGCAGTGGAGTACTTCGGAGAAACAGCTGGGTCTACCGCCACACTGCATCGTTTCTCCTTGCTGTTGACGCAGACAGCCAACCACCAGGACCACTGTTTGCGAGTACATACACAGTCTTTTATATATATATATATATATATTACATTGGTGTGTAGGATGGACCTGACGTGGAGAGGGGATAAACTTCAACTGGGGAATTGATGTGTATGGAGTGCCAGCCAGCAGCATTCTGTGACACTGTGAGCAGTTTTGTTACACTAGTTTGGGGGATTGTGCTTCATTCCTTTTGACGGGCACCATTTGAAGTCAACGGTTACTCTTCCTCGAATATCTATCCACAATTGTCAATTTTTTCATAAGTATATGTGTGTATATATATATATATATTTTTTTTTATTATTTATTTATTTATATGTCTGTATTTTCATGTTTATATATTTAGCTTCTGGAAATGTTGGAGAAGTTTTGAAAGGCATGTTGTAAACTTATGACACAAGTCAATTGTCATTGTTGCATTTTGATGGTGATTCCGGGATTTTTATATAATTAGTGACACATTGAACCAACTTTTATTCATATAAAAATATAATGATTTTAATGTAATACAATAAAATCAACTAAACAACCTAAAATTTTATTTAGTGACAAAAATTGTAGAATATATCAGAACCTCAATACTCAATAATTTAACAGTAATTTTAACTTTTGGAATTTTGCATTGATAGTTTAGAGCCTTTAGTATGTAATACTATATACACACTGAATAATTTTTTTATCATGTAAAAATTACAAACATCCAATTTGTTAAAAAAAGGATATTTATGAATTAAAACTCTAGATCTAAAATAATCAAAACAGAAGTTTAAAATATGTGGGCATACTGTTATAAGAATATCAATATACAAAACAACAGTAATGTATTGGCATGTCAACCTTTCAAGAATCAATAAATTTGAAAGCTACAGACACAATTGTTTAATCACACAATCATCAGTAAATAAATGCATGCCATGTGATGACAAATGCACAGCAACCGTCAACCCAATCTGCACTTAATGACATATTGCTTTACATCAAAGATTTTAATGCATTTTTTAAATTATTAAATTATTTTGACATGTATGGAGTGGCTCCATTCCCTTAAATCAAAGATATCCAGAACACAAGCTGCCAATATCACAGAATCTGACTCACTACACCAATATCATAAAAGTACTTCAAAATATATCTATATTTATATATCTATCTATCTATATATATATATAAGTACTATAAACAATGATAAATCAAGGCATGCAAAAACAAACACTTTTTACAAACAACACGACATCACATGAAAAATGGCTTGGTCTCTTTTTCACTCTCATTTCTTTGTCAGTACCTGCTTCAATGAATGGACCTCTCATTCTCATTCTCAGGTATAACATGGACAAAACAGTGGTGCACCATGACCATGTCAGAAAACCCAAAGACAAAAATTGTGTGCTACATACATGCAAGGCCATGCGCACACCCACCTAGACACACACACTCATACAGTGGAAGTGGAAGGTGGGGGCAGCCATGTGGCAAACCATGACCTACACCAAGTGCCCAATTTTGCCCATGAGAAGAGACCTTTCTTAATAAGCATAGGACTACCACAACCATGAGGAGATAAAATCACATAATAAAACCATGAGAACTAAGTTAAACAAGAATGTGGGCAACAATACAGTGGACGTGGGTGGGGGCTCCACTGTGGAAGCAGCATTACCAGGCTCTCTCGAAACGCGAGCTTGCAGCGTGGGACGGCGTCATGGAGTCCCGGAGATGGCGAGGCTGCGCGTGGTTGGTGACGGTGAGGCGTTGACGGAGCGATTACTTTGACGCAGCTTTATGGGGGTGGAGGTGGAATGGAGAATGAGCAGCTCTCGTGTCCGCCCCTTCGGAATAAACGCCGCAGAATTGCTTCTTGTGCGTTCTCGCCGTGTGCTTGTCTTGTCTGGATGCCATGCCTAGCACTGCCGTCGCTGCGTAGGCCCTCTTCACCCTGTTTCCGACTTGGTTCTTTAAGACTGCGAGTTTTGGGTAGTCTTACTCGTCGAGAATCCCCCCCCTCTCCCTGGTCAATGTCCCTGTTGCTTGGGTTGTTATAAAACCTTCGATGTTGCGGTGGTTTTGTCATTGCTTGCTTTCGAGGTTGGATTCTAGTGTCCGCTTCGCTGTCACTTGAGTGGATTGGCAGCGAGGAGGTGATCAGTTGGGTGGTAGGAGGGAACAGTGTGAGCTGTTGTATGAACTGTTGTGTGAGTCTTTGGGGTGAGAGGGAGAAAGTTGGGGGAGGCGTTCTGGAAAGGGGACTGTGTGTTCAGAGCGAGATGGATGGTCGATTGTTTCTGCAAGGGCTTGAGACGGTTGCATTCGTTTGCGTCTCGGTTTTGCTGATTTCTCAGCTATGGCCTAAGAATGAAGAGCGTGCCAAGATTAATACGCGCTTGCCTCGTGGGTCGTATGGCCTGCCCCTCGTTGGCGAGACGCTGAAATACATGGCTAGTATGATGACATCCGCTCCCGCGTTCATGGCGGAGCATCGACAGAAGTACGGGGAGATGTTCAAATCGAAGCTGATGGGCGCGTTTTGTATAATCACGACGAAAGCCGATACGATCAAGTGGGTGCTTAACCATGAAGGCAAGCAGTTCGTGACTGGGTACCCGAAATCCTTTCGCAAGGTGTTGGGAGAGTACGCCGCGCTGAGCCTCCACGGAGATCAATGGAAGAGCACGCGGCGGTTTCTCGTGAACAGTCTCCGCGTCGAGTTGCTGAGGGAGCGCATTCCGACGATTGAGCAAGCTGTGCTGGAGAATCTGAACCCTTGGGCAGCAAAAGAATCCGTGAGCATCCGGGAGGAGACAAAGACGTTGGCCTTCAATGTAGTGGCGCAATATCTTCTTGGATCGAGGCTAAAATCAGGCCCCGTCAACGATTCCCTGCGCAACGACTTCTACACCTTGACGGAGGGGCTGTTTGCGCTGCCAATCAATCTCCCTGGGACCAACTACAGGAAAGGGCTCGAAGCGCGCGCGCGCATCATAGAGACGCTCGAGCGAGACGTGGTGAGCCAGGCGCGGCCAGTTGGAGACGAAGACCAGTACGCCGATTACATGGACTACATGCGGAAAGAAAACTTACCTGGAACCACCGAGGAGTTGCTGCTCGAGAAGACTCGGTGTCACGTACTGGGGATGCTATTCGCCGGCCACGAGACCGCCGCAAGTGCGATGCTGTTCGCCGTGAAATACATCATGGATAATCCCCGCGTCCTGAATGAGCTCCGGGCCGAGCATGAGAACATTCGAATCTCGAAATTCGAAGGCGGGAGCCTGACATGGGACGATTACAAAAACATGCGATTCACGCAGTCGGTCATCACCGAGACGTTGCGGCTTGCGAATCCCGTCGCCTTGCTGTGGCGTGAAGCAACGGAGGATGTCCAGTTGAATGGGTACGTGATTCCTAAGGGCTGGAAGACGGTGTGCGCAATTCGAGAAGCGCATCACGACCCCGCATTGTTCGACCGCCCGTCTGAGTTCAATCCATGGCGCCACGAGCAGGAAGTGATGAACCCAGCTAAGAAGTTGCCATTGCTGGGGTTCGGAGGCGGCCCGAGGTACTGCCCGGGAGCTGAGCTCGCGCGCGCCGAGATCTGCATTTTTCTGCACCACCTGGTGACGAAGTTCGACTTGAAGAGTTGTGGTGAGGAGACGGTTTCCTTCTTCCCCGTCCCCAAGTTCAGCAATGGGCTCCAAGTGCAAGTGCAGGAGCGTGATCTCTCAACCAGAATTTCACACAAAATCAGGGTGCACTAAATTCCATCTTCATCCCTTTGCTGATTCGCCGCGATCGAAGCGCTCTCATTCTTTGGTTATCCTGAATTGTAAAGGTCCTTTCGGGAAAACTGCTGCAAGACACGAAAATACCGACTTGACTTTCTGCTGCCAATTCTTTTTTTGTTTTTTAATTTTTCTTCTCCCTCAGAGCAATTGGGGAACATGATCATCCTCGCTGGCAGGGATTTAGAGACAAAGTATCCAGCATTCACAAATTTTGAGCTGGGAACCGTGTAGAGATAGACAAGCTAACGAGCCGCTATGTAAGGACCGAAGGCTAGCTGAAGCCGCGAACCAACATTTACGAGTTCTGTAGAGAAGTGTCAATGGTTTTACACACAATTGGTTGAGAGACAGGACAGAAATCAAGAGCCTGATGTGTAGAGTTACCAACCATGCAATGAAGAACAATTAAATCTGGTCAAAAACTGATTTTCCGCACTGCATGTATGTTAGCATTGTCGTTTATTGTCATCCAGAATGCAATCCAATAATGCAACCCCCTGTCTGACGGGAACATTTTGTCGGTATTGCTCGACAATGGACGTCGTTTATGGAGCTCTTCCGAAGCTGTCTCTAACACCCACAGGGGAAAAAAGTGAAGGAAGTTATCTCCACCACCTTCACAACGCAACATGCACCACTAAGTTCAGTGCAAAAACCCAAAGATCAGAGTACTAGACCAGGATAAACTGAGCTGATTTTGCAACAGCACGAAGCAGGTTGCGAACAGGTTTTGAACTGCCCCGACGTGGAGCTACCACACCATCATCTAGACAGAATACCAGGTTCTTACCTCTCAGAGTACCCACGTTCACGAGACTTCATCACCATCGTCGTTTGTTAGAACTCATCAATCTGATGTCGATCAGTTTGCTGAAGAATACAGCATTTCTCAAATTCAGCGTTGTGATATTGTGTGAGACATGAGGCTAGCAGAAGCTGTTTATCAGCGTGGTGAAGAGTTTGGTGAACCTTCCGGTGCTGAAATGCAGTGTTATAGAAGCTCGTGTGTACACATGATTTACTATCAGACTGACTTGATGTGGTCTTCTTCCCTTGGTACTACAATTCACTGTGATTCTACTATTTTTGTAGATACATATACATGTGTGTGTGTGTACATATTTTTCGGTGTCTAGTTTAATCAGTAAACGTAGCAATGGAATGTTTTTGATATGTATATGGGGTTTCACATGAATCACTTTTTAAAGTTTTTAAGGCAAGAAGAAAATGGCATGAAATTACTTACAATGAGTATAAAAACTTTTGGAAAAGTTATCACAAAGTTTTAGCAGGATTGTAACAGAAATGTAGTGGGAAGACGGAATTAGCGTATGATAACGTGAGAGCTAGCGATGCTTGTAGTTATGTGTCTATAAACACAAAAAGGGATTTTTAAAATATTATCGAGAGAAATGTGATACAATACTTACTAAAATCTAAAGACTGCATTTTTTTTCAATTAGATAATGGTTGTGAACACTGAAAAAGAAAATGTTGAGGATTTACTTTTATTGTGACTTGTGTAGCACATGATGTTACAAATTCTTTGATTGTCTCTCATATTTGCCTCATCCAGATATATGTAAAAAAAGAAATTCCAACCTTCTACTAAATCAATGTTGAGCCATGAAAATATCTTTGTAAGTTTGTAATACAATAAGATTAAATAGCCGTCAAAAAAGATTCAACTTAATTTCAAAAGAGAGCCTATCATATAAAAAATAAAAATTATCAAGGTATTTTTTATTAATAAAAATTACATTCATAATTAAAATCATATTAATTTTGATTTGAAAATAAAGAAATTTATTGAAATAATTATTTTATAAACATAGGTTTTTAAAATATTAAGGATAATTAGCTATTATTAATTAGAGTTTACTCATTTATTTATATATTTATATATTATAGCTACTACCACCAAGTTTTTCTGCTACTACTATCATAACTTGCCAGTGACCTTGTGTCACACACCATAATGCAATTTTTTCAACTAGTGACATTGTACCAAAATTGATTGTACTAGTTTGAAAATCTTAATTATTCATGTTGGCTGCTAAATATCAACCAATTCCAACATGTATACCTTCAAGCACAATAAAAAAATAAAAAAATAAAAAATGCAAAGGTGGGAGCAATGTATTGATTCTAATAACAAACAAATTTGTCTTGGCGCCAAGATAAATCTTCTTATATAAATAGCCACCAACATAGAAACGATTGTTACTTCCATGTCCATACTTGCCAAACTCCTTGCTTTTATCACAAGCATCAAGGATGTGGCAACCAATGGAAGTAATTAAGAGTCATTGGCTAGTATAGTCAACTTTTGAAACAATGCTTTTAATTAAGAAAAGTGCAGCTTGGTGTACAATATATAGTATATGGTGGTTTGTAGTGGTAGTAAAAAAAATTATGGTAGCATTAGCAATATCTTATATATATATATATATATATATATATATACATGTGAGTATTTCATGTATCAAAATGATTTGGTTAATAATCCTTATAATTCCTATGATAATTTTGTATTGAACTTTAATATTTTTTTCTTCATATCAAAAAAAATAAATAATAAATATATATATATATATATATATATATTTTATAAAAAAATATTATAAAAGATTAAAAAATGAGTATTTATTTTAAGTTTATAAAATCATAAATAATTTTTAAATATATATATATATATATATATATTAATTTATTACTTTGGTAGATACCAATTTTTAGAAGTCATGCAATGTTATAAGTTAAGGAATTATAAATTTACAACCTAGAGCAAATCTTTGCTCTAGCAAATATTTTAAGGTTTGTAAAGAGTATCAATTATGGAATATCAAATAACCAAGGAACATCTATCTCTCTCCCTCTATATATATATATATATATATATATACATATAAATTATAATAGCATTTATCCAATATAATGAATTAAGATGATTATAAAAAAAATCCATGTTGTATTCAAAAAATTTAATTAATATAAACAAAAAGAATTATTAAACTATAAAATAAAAATTGATATATAAAATTAATAATAGAAAAATCATACTTGTTAATAATGCAAAATTTATACTTGATACTCATGTCAAACAAATAAATAAATGATTAGTATGAATTAATTTATATTTTCTGTAAAATTATTTTAAGATGTTGATAGGTAGACTTTAAAAAAAACAGTAATTAGATCATGTGATACACATAATATTCTTTTGTAATTATAAAAAATACATATTTTTCTATTACAAGTTTATTTTAGATTTTTTTGCATTTATCAAATATTCTTCAATTAGGAATACAAACTTAAAGTTTACAATTGTAATTTGCACAATATAAGGACTTATTATGGATTTAATAATAAGAGTTAATTATTTTTAATATGTGGACAAAATGCACATGAAGGTTTCTTTCAATTTGTAAAGATTTTGATTAAATCAAAAAATTATTCTAATATAAATATATATATATATATATATATATATATATAAAATCATATGCTAAAATTTTAATATTGGATTTTTATTTATTTTTTTAAAAAATAAATAAAATATTAATATTCAAAAGGTTAATTTTTAATTAACTTGAAATGCATGCCATATAGCTTACAAAGTATATGAAATAAACCACATTTTATTTAAGATCTCCATAAGAATTTTTAAAAAAAGTTTTCTAAATATCAGAAATACAACTTAAAAATAATCTTACTAAATAATACAATTAAAAAATATTTTTAAAATTAAAAATATAACCATTCTTCTACTTGATAAATTACTAAATTATAACTAGATTATATTTAATGGTAGCCTATTTTCTTTTTTGATTGAATTGCAATCTATATATAAATTGTAAAATTTTACTTTTATTTGAAAAATTTAGCACGAAAATTGACATTAATTTAACCAATAATAAACAAACAAACTAACTAATTAAAAAAAAAATAGAAACAATGTCGACAATGTGTGAAAGAAGCTTGTAACACTTTTGTGGATTTATAGTGCAGAATCGAGCACCATTGCATTGCAATTGCTGTGTGGGAAGTGCAAATTCGATGAATTGGATTATTCCACAAATTGGGCATGGGATGGGCCCAAAGTGCGGAGTGAAAGGATCTAGCAGTGATAAAACCCACAAAGGCGATGATTGGGTCGAGAAGAGTGTGGAAGGAGGAGCTGAGTCCCACATATATTGAAGAGGAGCCATTGGATGTCTGAAGCTTTGATGGATATTGCTGCAAAACAAGTGGCAGAAGCAGAGGTTTCTCCTTCATGGCCTCGCCAATGCTATGATAGGTCGATCTATACTAGAACAACCATCGTCTTCTATTTCTATAGATTTTATCTCGAATCTTCTAATTTCAAATTCATATGATTCTATATTCGTGATTATAGATTGTTTCAACAAGATGGCACATTTTGTACCATGTACAAAATACATCACAAGTGAAGAAACAATTAAATTCTTCCTTGACAATATCTATTGCTATCATGGATTACCAAGGGATATTATATTAGATAGAGGAACATAATTTTTATTGAGATTTTGGAAAACCTTTTTTAAGATATTAAAGGTAAATATAAAACTATCTTCAGCTTTCCACCTTCAAACTGATGGACATACAGAATGGGTAAATCAAGTTTTAGAATAATATTTGAAGTGTTCTATCAACTATCAACAAGATGATTAGACAACTCTTTTGCTATTGGCAAAGTTTTCTTATAATAATTTGATACATTCTTCTATTCAACAAACACCTTTCTTTGCCAATTATGGTTATCATCCATAATTTGACACTTTTGACTTTTTAAAAGTTAATAATCCTACAGCAAAAGATACCACAAATTGATTGTCAGAGCTACATGTAATAATAAAGGCATAATTAAAGGAAGCTCAAGAAAGACAAAAAGCTAACACATAAGTCTATCACAATGAATAACCTCAATTCCATGTAGGAGATAAGGTATGGTTACTTTATCACAACATTAAAACTATTCATCCTTGTGACAAGCTGGATTATCATAGACTTGGACTATTTCTCATTTGTGAATAGATCAATCCAGTTGCTTATCGATTACATCTACCAGAGTCTATGAAAATCCATCTTGTGTTTCATGTGTCTTTACATAAGCCATACAAGACAATGGATATATAAGGAAGGAGACAAATGCCACCACCTCCTATAGACTGGATAATAATAAAGAATTTGAGGTGGAAGAAGTCTTAGATTCAAGTTGGTACCAAAATAGGTTAGAATATCTAGTACATTGGCATAGATATGACATTAATGAATGTGCATGGGAGCCATCAAAGAATCTAGAAAATGCATCACCCAAAGTTAAAGCTTTTCATCAATGACATCCATCAAAACTAAGATGAAGAGTCAAGAAATTCTTTGCTATAAAATAAAGTAAGCCCAATGGAGATTTCATTCTATCTTGTCTCATTTTTTCTTTGAATTTTTTAGTACTTAGGAGATAGAGAATCAACAATAAGTAGATTCAATTCAAGAGCTCTCATTTGTTGAGCTACCAGACGAGACATTGCGACTATCACAACCTTTGAGATGGAAAAATTGAGATGAAGACCTTCAAGAATAACATTTTTTTTTTAAATAGATGGCAAGATACAAAACGTTTGGTACGACGACCTTAGAAGGAACTCCTAGTGTTTAGTGATACTTTTGGAGATAGAAACCACTCTTGATGGTATTACTAATATTTTGTTTGAAGGAAGTTATGAAGGCCTCAATAATGATGAAATATTAGGATAGTCTTCTCGCTCTAGTATGGGATATTATGGATGATTGAAAGGACCTATCAACTACCTTTGAAGGCAACAAAGATCTCAATACGTGGCAAATATAGTTTTGCACATCTTCGACTTCATCAACATGTAATCTTTACTCCTTATGAAACTCATTCCTAGAGGGGGGGGATAATGTCACGGACATATATATTTATTTTGATAATTATCTAGATAATAAGAATAAGTAGAAATAAGTCAAAGTAGATAAATATAATAATATCTTATAGAAAGCTTCTTAGAAGCTTTATAGACATTGCTTTGCCTTTATACATGTCTATAGGTGATTAGTAGGTTGAAAACTTAGCCAACAAAGAGGCCACATGTTGACATGTTGACCACTTGTAGTAAAACTTGGACATATGGTGCACACCTATGAAACTTGCCTTGTAAATTAGACATGTGTTTTGCATGTTGGACGCGTATTAGAGGTTCTATAGCATATTGCTATGTATTTCTTAGTTAAGTAGTATATATAGAGGCAAGAGTGGGGCCTTCCTCACTCTTGTCAACTCCTTTCTTGTTTTTAGTCTAGTTTAAAGAGTCTTATGTTTTCTAGTCTTTGGCAATAGCCATTCTAGTTCTTCCTTGAATATACATATTTTTTTCTATTTTGTCACTTTCTTTTTGATACAAATTCTATGAATTTATGTATCTTCTTCCAAATAGTTTTAAGTAAGTATTTTAAAGAAAATTTATATAAAAATCTTTTAAAAAAATATGCATAAAGAATGAAGGATATTGATTATATTAGACAGATCTTATATGTATAATCAAATTTTACTTATAATAATACTTAAGATTTAAAAAATTGATTTAAAGTATATTTTTTAATCATACATTAATCAAATTTATCTATTATTCTATAATTTATTCTATAATATATAAATCTTAAATCCTAAATATGATAAATTAATATATCTAAAAAAATACAACTCTTTATTTATATTAAGGACATTCATCAGATATTACAAATAATAATACAAAGATCAATTAAATTATAGGACTTTAAGAGATATTAAAGCCCAAATAGAATATATATATATATATATATATATATATATATATATATATAAGTGAAATTAAAAAAGATCCTTAAAATTTAGTATTCTAAAAAAAATTAAAATTTTCTTAAAAATATTGAATTGAAAACATATACATAAATTAATTTTAAATTATTTTTATAACAATAAAAAAATCAAATCTATATTTATAAATTAAAAATTAAAAAATATAATTATATATATATATATATATAGGGCACTATTATGTTTTAAACATTTGTGCAAAAAAATCTATTCACTATTATGTAGTAAATTCATATTTAATAAGATAAAAAACTAAACATTAACTTATGTGTTGGTAAATATTGCAGAAAAAAATTGATATTTTTTTTATTACTATATATTTTTTATTAGAAAAATAAAATAATATAATACATAGTATGGAGATAAATAATAATGATAACACTTATATTAGATAAAGTTAATACACACATCTATCTATATATATATATATATATATATATGTGTGTGTGTGTGTGTGTGTATTAAATTAGAATATTATTAAAATTCTTAGATTTTTAAAATTAACTTGTATCATCTTATTTTAATAAGAAATTTAATTATATTATTTTAATTATAAAGAAGCATTTGTTTATGGGCAGCAAGAGTCAAAGAAATATTAATATTTTTAAAGAAAGAATTTAAAGCAACAAACACACACAACAACTAACATGAATTTTTTTTATAATAAATATACACAATTTCTACTGAAAGAATAGATATAAACAACTACCAATAGGTGAGACTATTCATGGACGATAAGAAACATATCAGAAAAGAGATATGGAATTAATATTGGATGGAAACACACAGTCCTACACAACAACTTAATTATATACACTTATACATAACAACTTAATCATCAAATAAATAGGTAAGGCGTACATTAATACAATTGGTGTGATCAGAGGTCGAAATATGATGTTGGTAAGTACAAAGAATGGTGAATCATGCAATCAAAATTACACCCTCATCGCACAACATCATCCTTGATAGCATGATTTTATTATTATTATTATTATTATGTGTCCTTCCTTCAGTGTCCCTTGACGTCTACCTAGTATCAGATAAATGCCAACGCCATGAAATGTCAAGCTACCAAATTATTAACCAACAACCTCACCAAGTCCAGCTCATGCCCATCCACTCAGTCTCCTATGAAGGCGCCGAAGACACACAACCAAAGTTTGCACTTCGCAAATTTGCGGCATACTCTTCTGTGGGGAAGGGGTTGAGAAAGTCCAATTCAGAGATCGAATCCACCGACACAGACCACCGAAGTCAACTGACCACCAGTGCTCAGACCTCGACAAAACATCTGTTCGTTGACTCTATCTTTGATTTTATTCCCACTTTGTTGCGAAATCCAAGACAATTTTGCCCAAGCCTCTCTATATAAATGAATGAATGAGTGAGTGAGTGGACTTTGGGTACACGTCTGCAAAGTCTTGGCGTCAGGGTAGCACTTGACTTCTGTGTCAGTTATTCTGACACTCGCAACAACGTCAGGATCCCAATTGTATTACGACTTTGTGAGGTCATTCAATTGACACACAATATACATAAAATCCCTCAGGGGAAAAATGTCTATAACTCTATATTTCCCATTCGAGAACGAGTTGCTTTTTAACTTTCCAGTTTCAGTGACTGCTACTCTAATGCAACAAACATGATGAATTTGTTCCAGTATACCCGAAACGTCAGTTAAAGGAACTTAAATCTAACTCCAGCCAATGATATATTCTTTCCACCGGCAAAGTCCTTGTTATTTTATTTTATACATTTATGTGTACTTTGGTATCAATTTCTTTACTTGATGAAAACATTCATACAAATGTCTGCTTGCAAGTTGGTTTCAGATCATGAATCGCGGGGCGTGACTGGAGGAAGAATTTATCGCCAACGTCATCCCCACGGCACTGCTTTGTGGGCACCCACCCCTTTCGTTGCAGAACTCGAAAACGCAATTTCGGGGTGTGTTTAGAGCACTGTCGTGATTGCTGTCCCTTTTGTCGCTGAACCCAGAGTCTATCGGTTCCCAACAGTTTGATGCTTACCACCCCTTCACCTCTCAGCACTTCATCCCCAAAGTCTCGTTTCTAACTCTTCTCCTGGTGACTCTGCGCGCGCATGAGTCTTTAGTTGCAGACTCGCGCCTCCGAGTGAGGCATTGACGATTGTGTGTCGAGAACAATGGCAGCTGCTGCTGGCGCTTCGGCTGTAGGAGAGAGGAGAGGATTGATGGTTAACAACTCTTTGGCTAAGGAGAAAGTGCCATTCGTCACTAAGGACGGATCTAGAAACGGTGAGTGGGAGGTGGTGATTTGGGGTGGAGTACGTCTTGATCGCTGGTGCATTGAGGAGCTCGCTCGAGGAGGTGGTTAGTTTCGTGGGTTCGAGGAGTTGGGGACCCTGGCGAAATTATTAGGGCTCAGGGTTTAGAAGTTGTATCATTTCGACGATTTGATGGGAGGGCCTGGTTTGTGTGGCAGTGACTTGGTATATTTGCGGGCCAACTGTGTACGACTCGTCCCACATCGGACACGCCAGGAATTATGTCACGTTTGATATCATACGTTGAATACTTGAGGTATGATTGCAGTCCTGCTTTAGAAGGTTTTGTGGGTAGTTGTTAGTGTTCGTGGCAAGACTCGCTTATCCGGTTGCTGTGCAACGGCAGGATTACTTCCACTACGATGTGAAGTACGTAATGAACATCACCGACGTGGATGACAAGATTATCAACCGTGCGAGGAGAAATCATTTGATGGACCAGTATCGCAGTGCTGCAACTGATCTGAACAAGGTGCGTAGATTTCCTGGGAATCACGCGCCGTGCACTACTGTTGAAGTGAGTGGTCTTGTGCGTGTTTGTGTTGTCCATGTCTAAGGGGTTGATGGGGACTCAGGTGATTGAAGACTTGGAAAGAGCTGTGGAGGAGGAACTGGGCAAGCAGCAGAAGAAGGTTCACTCCCTTCTGCCTGTCATGTATCCTGGTTACACCTGAGAAGCAACATCGAATTGGATATTGAAGTGGCATTATGTACTCCATAACCGCTTCTGACATTGCGTCACTCCCGACTCATCATTTTCCCGGATGGGCTTTGTTGCAGATCTCGGAGACGGGAGAGGAATTTGCTAAGGCCACCTTGTCGAGACAAAAAGATGAGTTAGCAGATGTAAGTGATATGCACTTGAATTTCTAAGTACAGCAAACGTGAACAATTCTGAATGTTGCACTTCTTGCAATAATCAGATCGAAGCTACGGTACTGTGTACGTAAAAGTATCTACGGTGTTTCTTTGCTAGAGAGGTGAACCGAGCAGAAGCGTTTGTCACTTTGGCAGTCTTCCAAGTCGGTGCATTTCAGTTCTAGTCATGTGAGACGTAATTCTACTGCGTCCGCGTGTTATAGAGGGTGAAGCAGGAGCAGCTAAAAGTTACCAAGATCATAGAGGCAAGGGATTTGCTGCAAGCTCTCAAAGAAGAAGCGAAGAAATTAGGAGGACAGGAAGGAATTGACATGCTCTTAGGGCAGAACGCAGCTGATAATTTGGCATCTCAATTGGATGCTAAGCTAGGGGCAACAGTAACGGATCACGCCATTTACAAAAGTCACACACTGAAGTAATGCATTCGCTCATGGGCTTGGTTTCAATTCGAAGTTTACAAAGCTGAATGCTGTGGTGTTCAGTCCATGAGTATGTGATGCAAAGGACGTGGTTTCCCTTTTCGGTGCATTACGCGTATCTCAGATAGTAGCATTTGGGGCGCCTTGAAACTGTGTGAGCTTCACTTTTCATGTGAACCCACATATCGCTAGTTGGAGGGGTGCCTTATATGTGGGACCTCTGAGTTTGGCAAGTGACAAGTACTGCTTTTTGGGGGTGTGCAGGTATGAAAATGAGTTTTGGGATGATATGAGTGCCTTGGGGTGCGGCTATCCTGACGTCCTTGTGAGAGTGACTGAGTAAGTATGATCTGATCCAATCGTTGGAGTAAGCCAGGGGATGCCGAGAAACCGTGTACCTAACTTGCGTGGGTATATGAACTTATGTATGTTCCGACGAGTTATTTATTGGCAGTGATTGTTGAGAAGGTGATCCAGGGAGTTGCCTTTCGCATGTTTGGGAGGTTTACAGAGTTAGTATCGTCATGCGGAGTAAGGGTCTTGTGTAGTTCCATGAACAGCGAGATTTTTCCTCCTTTGATCTTATCGGAGGACATGTAATCTTGTGTCTGCAGAGGCGCATCAGGATCTGACGGTATGAGTGATGAACTTAGTCGCAAGAGTCGATCGCAAGTCGCAGAGGCACAATGATACGGGCGCTGTCTGTGGCAGGTATATGGATAAAATTGTTGAATACGTGGAAGTCATTGTGGCGAACAAATTTGCTTATGTGGCGAACGAGAGCGTGTATTTCGATACGCGAGCTTTCAGGTACGTCATCCTGCTTCTCATGTCAAGTGTCCTATGGCTTCGGTTTAGTTGGGTGAGGTAAAAGAGTAATAGATTGAAGGAGCAGATTTGATATCATGGCAGATTTATGGTGCGATTTTGCATGCTAATCTGTTTCTTTTTGTTATTTTTGTTTCTCCTTCTTGTTATCGTTACAAGGGTTGGTGCAAAACACGGCATGTGAAGGACAGAGAAACGCAAAGAATCTAAATGTGACCGTTTTTCTTTTGCAGAGAGGCAGGCCACCGCTATGGAAAATTGAACCCAGCTGCTGTAGGCAGCTCAATGTTGGCTTCGGAGAGTGAGTCGAATTTTGACACTTCTGAAAAGAGAACCAGCTGCGATTTCGCCTTGTGGAAGGTGAGTGGTCTCAAACTGGACGTCACGTAGGGAGAAATGAGAGGAGTTTGATTGCTTTGATCTATATTGATAAGGAGCTATGTAATGATGTGCAGCATGGATTTGTCAGCTTGTATGTGTGACCGTTTGTTGACGCGATGTTGTAACATATGGATGGCCCAGAAAAGTAAGCCTGGAGAACCTTCATGGGATTCTCCTTGGGGCCCGGGACGTCCAGGCTGGCACATTGAGTGTTCGGCAATGGCCAGTGACATACTGGGTGATAGCATAGATATCCATACTGGAGGACAGTGAGTGACTTACATCTGGTTTTTCTGCTTTACGTGGATGAAAGCGATCTTATTGTATGTTTTCATTTGACAGTTTTTCATATATATATATATATATATATATATATATATATATATATATATGTTTCTGTTTTTTTGTGTTATTGATATCTTTATCATCATTCGGGTAAGCAGATGTTGAATCTTGTCATTGCCTTGTCTTTTGTAGTGATTTGCAGTTTCCACATCATGACAATGAGCTGGCTCAATCGGAGGCATACTTCCACTGCCATGAAGTATGTGCTGTATTTTTCGGTTTGTACAACTGAGTATGTTTTGAAATGGTTTTCTTCGTCAATGTGTTTTGTTCATGAAGTGATTGTGTTACAGCCTGTGAATCTGTGATATCTGCTTGTATTTGCAGCTGTTGAGGACTCTTTTTTGTTGAGTATCATTTCATTCGGTTTCATTCTTCGTGAAGGTTTTTTGGAAGCTGTTAGGATTTTGAGGTGCCGTGTCCCTGGGTCGGAGTACTGTGTCAGAGGCTTGACAGCCTTGTGTCTGACTGTTGTGAACACAGTGGGTCAGATACTTCTTTCATTCTGGACATCTGTCCATCGATGGCTTGAAGATGTCAAAGTCTTTGAAGAACTTCATAACAATCAAGACGGTAAGGGATTATTATATGTGCTTAGTTGCTGGTTTGTTGCAGTTAAATGATCTTGAGATCTGCGTCGTTGACCACTGATGTACAAGTATTTGTGATGAAGTGACATTTCCCCGGATTGTTGATGCGTACGAGTATTAACCTTAGAGTGATGTTTCGGGGAGCAGGCATTGACAATGTATACAGCGAGGCAGCTACGTACGCTTTTTGTCATCCAAAGCTGGGACAAGGTTATCACTACTGCCTAATGTGTGCGGGTGGCATTGCTTATGCGGTCTTTCGATGAAGATGCTTGTCCTTTAATTTTCCTCGTATTGATAAATATGGCAGAAGAGTGTGGAGTGTTTGAAAGTGTGAAAAGGCTATATTTGTGGGCGGACGGATGCTGATTGTATGCACATTGATACTCGTATCCGATTTTTGCAGTCAATCAATTTCAGCACAACTGTTGTGAACGAAGCTCTGGGGAAAGAGAAGCAGTTGAAGAACTTCTTCGCCAATGTGGAGTCGCATTTGAGGCAGCATGTACGTGCATTCCTTAGCTCCGCAGGATTTGATTGTACGCCAAAGCCTTTTAGAAAAGTTCCGGTCATTTTGAGGCTCCATGTAGTAGGTTGCATGTTTTTGAATGTGCTGGTAAATGGAATAGATCTTATTGTATAGTGTCTCTGAAAAGCAGAGGTTGGCAGTATGAAATATTCATAGTGTCCACAGGGTGAAACTGTTGTTGAGGCCAAGTGTGAGTGGTTAATGAAATTCAAACATCATCTATGAATGATGTGGGCAGCCTATGGAGGGTGTCCAAAGGCCAGGACTTGATGAGAAGCAACTGTTAAGCAGGGTGGACCAAGCGCAAATTCAGGTGACCTTTCACCCCTACAGGTTGCGCAAAGTTGGATGTTGTGAAATTTGCAGTATTGTCCTGCATGAATGTATTCTTGGGTAGTGGTGACGTGGGAAATTATGAGCTTGCAATTCGGAGAAATTTGATATACCTGCATGGATGATGGTGTCCGGAATGAGGTAATTATGTTGCCATGTTGTAGGTGCGGGAACGACTAGAAGATAATTTCGATACCGCGGGCGCTATTTCAGAGTTGCTTTCTTTGGTCAGAGACGTTCACTCTTACATCGACAAGTGCAAATCGGTAAGTCAACCTGGCTTGTCGAGAGCTTCTTTTGATGGTTCTACGCGTTGCGTCGTGTTCACCCGGACTGTATATACTCTCTGAGCGGTATTGCTTTATGAAATACGGAACGTTCAGGAACAATACGTAGTATCGAGTTGTGTTCGCTCCAAACTCTGTGACTGCAGGCAAGCGGGAAACCTCAACCTTCACTCTTGAAAAAAGCAGCAGTTTTTGTGACCAAGATCCTTATAGTGTTCGGTAAGTCGCACATTGCTTGCGGACTGAAGTTCATCGTTTTAACATGTCATCCTTTGTGCAAATTGTATTAGAATGTGCTGGACAAGGACAGTTGCAGAGAAATGTAAACTGGATATGAATAGGTGGCCAGGGTCATGAATTTGGCGAGTTTTTCCTGCTGAATGTGTTAGTGGATCCAGTCTCTGTGTATAATCGTTTCCTTGTGACGCCTCTAATTGCCTGACTGGTTGGACTTGTTTTGATGGATTGTTTGAACTTACCCGGAACGTATCAATTTGCTTGACTGACTCTTGACCGATCCTAACAGGGTTAAGTGATGCGAAGATCTGTGAGATTGGCTTCGGCAACAGCACTAGCCAAGTCGGTTCAACTGGTAGTCTTGCAACAGTCGTGGTATGTATTTGAGATTCTCAACTGTGTTCGGTTCTGAAACTCTTGTTAAGATGTGGCAGCAGAATTCGTGAAAACCTTCACAGGAGCTACATTGGAACAGGAGTTGTTTTTGAAATAGCAGTAACTATCGTGCAGGCCAGTTGGACCCTGTTATCCTTACATGGCTGTGGTTGTTTAAAGCCAGGATTTGTTGAGTAAAGATGAAGCGCATTCTTTCCATTTCTTTCTGTTGAAAATGGTCATTTTTATGAGTCGGTTATGTTTTGGTGGATGTGCAGGCTCCTTATGTAGAGGGATGGGTGTCACTTCGTGATAAAGTGAGGTCCGCTGTGAAAAGTGGTGCTTCTCAGGTATTATTTGGGTTTTCCTTGGAACACACTCTGATGTTCAAGCATTTTTTGATTGATTCAGAAGACTGGTGTGAGAATTTGTACCTAGAATGTTATGCTGTATCAGACATCAAGAGAGAGGAGGCGGGGTAAGATTTTTTCCATTTCTATGAGTTATTCAATGGAATGTTGTGCTACTATTGTTTGAGAATCCTTTGATTCCTCTAATTTCAGAAGGTGGTACAATGGGAATTAGTTTCAAATCTGGTGCTTATGCAGCATGAACGAATGTTTTTGATGTGGTGATCAGGGAAGTTTGATGGAACTTACTGATAAAGTTCGAGATGAGGACATGGTTGATGCTGGAGTTTGTGTTGTGGATGCGGGCAACACCTCTACGTGGAGATTGGATGACCCTACGATATTGCAAAGAGAACGTGATGAACGGAGACTAAAGTTGAAGGAGGAAAAATTGCGGATCTTGCGACAGAAAAGGCTACAAAAGGTCTTGTTTCTCACTCCCCTTTCCTTCTCGGGTACTCTGCAGAGATGGAAAATAGCATCTTTTCAGACAGTTCTCAGTGGTCTAAGTTGGGTGCTTTTATTTTATGCTGCTTTGATTGTGCTTCCTAAATACCATACTAGGCATTAGCTTCCAGAAACACCCTTGGTATACATTGGTCACATTTTGACTGGATTTAGTATTCTGCAATAACTTATTGTTTTCTATACCTTCTAGTTCCCCTCTTGATCCACTCTTACTTTTGGTCTGGATCTTTGTAACAGGCAAATTTGCTTGAAAAGCTCGAAGCTTCATCTATAGCACCCCAAGAACTTTTCAAGGCTAAAGACGAGTATAAAGACTTCGCTTTTGATGAGCGAGGTGTCCCTACTCATAATAAAGCTGGGAAAGAGCTGCCAAAGAACGCCAAGAAGGTAACTTTTTCCTCCGACTTGACCTGAACATGTTCACAGCAATATAGTCTTCATAAAGCGTTTAGGTTTGACCTTACTAATTGTCATTGCTGCGCAGAAATTGGAAGCTACTTACAAGAGGGCTGTAACTGATCATGAAAAATTTAAAGATAGCTTAGCGAAAGATCCTCGATTTTTGCAGAACATGAAGGTAGAATTGCAGGAGATTGATTCTCAGATTCTACTTTTGGAACAATAAGGATAATATTTATAATCATTTTTTAATTTGATAACCATTTGATGTTTATTTTTATTTTTTAATGGAGTGAGTTTCAATATGACAGTTTCTCGTAGTCGGAGCTGCGGAGACTTTGTTCACTGGAAGCTTTTGGTCATTGTTTTACTGTTTTTCATAGTTTCTAATGATCAATGACTACTTTTCTGCACAACATTCTACCATATGTTCTCCTAGATGTGTGCCTTCTATTCTTTTGTGTGAAACCCTTTTATGTAGTCCTCCAGTCTCTGATTTACCTTGAACTGTTAAATAGCATGTACCTGGTCAAATAGACAAAAGCTGACATGATTTACTTATATATTTGTCGGAGACGCTGTAAGTGCAAGAACATCAGTTGTCACGTAGTTGATGCAACTGAAGAAAATCGGGTTCACAGTTACCTTGTATATGTTTCTACAGTTGCAAAGCTTAAAACTTCTTCCACAAGTTTATGGACTAAGTTGTGTGGACTGTACTCTACATTTATGAATTATGTCCACTAACTGTTCTCCTCATAAGTTCTCTCTTCGACCAATTCTTTCAAATATATTCTTAAAATATATTCTTAAAATATATATTGAGTACATTTTATAAGCATAGAAAATATTTGATTTGCCAAATTATCCACAATTAATTTATTTCTATTCAACCATTGCTTCTAATTTATATTTATATATATTTTTTCAAACTTTATATCTTAATGTAAAAATATTAATTTCATTAATAAGAATCTAATTCTATTTTAATTCCTTTAGCAAGTTTTGTCAATTCTCTAAGAATTTTTTTAAAAATAAAAATTTCAACTAAAGTTAGAGTATTAAAAATCCATTGTCTTTTTATTTATTCATATAAATAGTTTCAACTTTTTTATTTAACATTGTTCATAGTGTTTATTGTCTTGGAATAAAATGATAATTTTAAGTATAACAAGAAATTATATATAAAAGAAATATATTAATATTATAATATATAAATTTAAAATAGATATTTATAAAATAAAATTATAAAATACAACAAGAAAAAAAATCAAATTGTATTAAAAATATTTTTTATTGGATTCAAAAATTTATATGCTTAATTAGCAAAGCACCAATGACATGAATTACAAACAATAAAACCCTCAATACACTCTTGTATCACTCAAAAAGAGTAAATATTTACTTTAAAATAATATAGTATTAGAACTAAAATATCTATTGTCAAAGATAAGTAGACTAGAGACTCTTGAAATAAGTCTAAAAACAAGAAAGGCATTAAAAAGAATGAAGAAGGCTTCACTCTTGCTTCCATATATACTATCTAACTAGGAGCTATGAGGCGACAATTTATAGGACCTCCAATACGTATCTAACTTATAAGACAATTGACTAACTTATAAGAGAAGTTTGATATATATTTGTCACATGGCCAACTAGTACCACAAATTGCTAATATGTTCAATACGTGATCAACTTATTGACATAGTTTCCAACCTATCAATCAATTATAAACATGTTGTATTTTATGAAGTTTGCTTAAGAATGCACTAGGCACCTGACTATAGAAGATAAAATGGATTTGTAATAATAAGGTCCTAACAATTCTAATAGAATTCTAAACAAATTCTAATCAAATCTTAATAATACTAATCAATTATTAATCAAATCTAAAAGTCTTAAAAAAATTATAAAATAAACATAAAGAAATCATAATTAACCTTAAAGAAATATATATATATATATATATATATAAAAAATAAAAACAAATCCTAAAGAAATAATAAAATAAAAATCTTTAAAAAAAATCTTAAAGAAATATTTTTAAAATTTTAAAAATAAAAATCCTAAATAAATCTTAATTAAATTCTAATGTAATCTTAAATAAATTTAAATAAAATCTTAAATAAACTCTAATTAAATCTTAAACCAACTTTAATCCAATCTTAATCAAATTTTAATTAAATCTTAAATCCTAAATCAAATCCTAATCAAATTCTAACCAAATCCTAAATTCTAAATAAAAGCCTTATTCTTAATGAAATCTTAAATTAATTCTATAAAAAACTTAAATCTTAATCAAATCCTAATTAAATCCTAATCAAATCCTAAACAAAACTTAAATAAATCCAAAAAAATCCTAAGTAAATCCTAACCAAGTTACTAAATTATATAAGTACCAAACTTAATATAAAGGACATGAAGTGTATAATCCTTATATAGTTTAAAAAAACCAATACTATTAAAATTAAATATTTTAATTTTTCTTTTAAATCACTAAAAATAAAGATGACAAATTTTTAAAACACAAAAGTGCATAGATTGTTTAAAAGTGTATCTAATTATAATTAATGGTTTATTTTCATAACATGTTTTAATTCTTTTAATTTTGATCAAATAAAAGTTGTTGGTTTAAAGACATAAAAACAAGATCATAAAATATCAAATAATAAATTTTATTACTTCTAAAAATCAATCAAGATATTATAATAGAACTATATTATTTAAAAGATGTGCAAAGAGAAGAAAATATTTCAAATAGATATTAGTTATTAATAACATGAACTACAATAAAATTCTAAAAATAAAAATATATTTTTATATTACTTTAAGAGAAAAAATACACAATTAAAGATACATATAGAATTGAAAGTAGAATGGCTATTACCAAATGCAAAAAGACTAAAAACTCTTGAATCAAGATAGAATATAAAAAAGGCATAAACAACACTGAAGAAAACATTATTCTTGCTTCTATATAAACTATATATGTGATTTATAAGATAAGTTTCTAAGATATGCTCAACATGGTTAATTTGTAATATAAGTGGTTGGATGTACAATATGTAACCAACTTGTCAACCTATCAATCACTTATAAATACATGTAAAGTCTATAAAGCTTTTAAAAAGCTAGCCAATAAAATATCAATAGTTTAAATCACTTTTGCTCACATCTACTGATTTATAGGATTGTCTAGTAGTTGAGTCTATCATTGTAGTAGTAGCTGTCTCAATTTTTATTTTTGTAAATTATTAATGACTTATAATGCATCTTCTACTTTATTGAATTTGATCTTTTTTGATAATAACCTCTAGTCCTCCCTTTTTGATTCATAGAACTTTGATTGTATAGACAACATACATATAAGAGGAATAACTCAGAGTTTCTTTTCAAATCCATTTTTTTTCTTATTCATCTCCTCTTTCAAAAATCTAATTTCTACCTCTAAGTAAAAAAATGACTTTTTCTTCTTTAAAATCACTTGCTTAATTATATTTTAATTTGCAAAGAGATTCTTCAATGTGAAATTGTTATGGACATATATATTTACCTAGATTAAAGAAATTAAATAGAAGTAAATAGAAGTGAATAAATTTGATAAAATCTTATAGAGAAGCTTCATAGATGTGGATTTGATCTTATATGTATTTATAGGTGTTCAATAGGTTGAAAAATTGTCCAATAAGTTGGCTATGTATTGTATATATTAATGACTTATCTTGCAAGTTAGATACATATCTTGCAAGTTGGACACATATTAAAGGTCTTATAGAACATTGTTACACAGCTTATAGTTAGTATATAGAGGCAAGATTGAAGTCTTCTTCACTTTTGTCAATATCCTTCTTGTCTTTAATCTTATTTGAAGAGCCTTTAATATTCTTATTTTTAATAATAGTCATTCTAGTTTAATATTATATTATCTTTGAATGATTATTTGATTTTTTTAAGTAATAAAAGAATGTATCGATGCTTTGATTTTTGTGATTTATGTCTTTGATAGAATAGAATAAGTCGACTATAAAAATTTTACTATTATATAGTATTCTCCAAATGCAATGCTCATATAGAATACTCATTAGGATTTTCAACATGCCTAAGTAGAAAAGAGTATTGGAACTTAAAGATGTTATAGTAGATTGAAATTGGTCAAACATTAGATCCAAAATATGCATTAACATTTTTTTTATAACATTGCTATAAAAAAGAATGTTAAAATGGTAGCAAAAATAGATGCATTTGGAACTTTCTTGGATCTTGATTTTTTTGGTCATATTATCAAAAAAGTGAGCAACTTTTGAACATTCCAAAGATTTATAGTTAAGACCTTGATGTATGACTTTAGTGCCAAATATTGACCCTCCGCACTCAACATGATGACACTTCTAAGGTAAAAAGTATCATTTGTCTAAACTTATACAAACTATTCTTTGTACAAAGTACAATGACTTTCAAGGAAAAAATAACTAAATTATTCACTTGACTTTAAGTAAATATTTTTTTAAGTTTATAAAGTTAATTAATTATTAAGCTAATTCAACTAAATGTACAAATAAGTTTTTTTTCTTGTACTTTCAAAATAAATATTTTTATCTTATATTTTAATTTTTTTTTATAATTATCTCACCATATATTTGATTTTTATATTTTTTTATAATTAAAAATAATTAATCTTAATTTAATATTTTTTTACTTATGATTGATTTTTATAATTTGAAAATTTTTAAATAAATAAAATAAAAAAATAAATATTCATTTTTTATTTAATTTCTCTAATAAGAAAAGCATTACAAAAAATCCTTCTTTTTATAAATCTTTTTGGCTCCTAATATATTTTAAATTTTACTTACCACTTTTCTTTCTAAATCTTCTTTTTAGTATGAACATCAATTCAACTTGAATCTCATTATTTTATTGTATGCTCTTTTAAATAGATATGTAGATATATATAGAAATATACATATCAAATTCTAAATTAAGTCTTTATAATGTGATTAATTTCTACTAAGTACAACTTAAAATATTTAATATTACATTTATTATTGGTTCCTATGATTGATTTCCTCTAGTTACAACTTTGGTTATACCCTTGATATAAAGAACAAACTTCTTAAAGTGACTTTCTCATTAACCTCTTAAACTAAGCAAATATTAACACCAACTAACTCCATATTGAATAATCCCAAGATGGCTTTTCCTAACCTGGAGACAAGAAAATCTTGGCTTGAATTGTTGTGCCACAACCCATCCTTCCACTCCTAATAACACTGGCCTTGGCAAACTATGTCTCTTTGACATGCTGCAACTCTAATCCAACAAGCTACTTCAAGCCCACAACAACTTGCCCAAAGATGGCTCTTGAGAGATGAGGTCATTGTTGAGGCCTTACAGACAGTTTTGTGTAGAACTGCTTGGTTTCAATTCATGGGGTCACTCATGTGAGCAAGTATCTATAAGTTGACTCCCTGATGACCTACTTGATGGCCAGCCGATTTCTTGGCACACTTTCAGAATTCGACAGGGAATAGTTTACACGACCAAGAGCTCAACAGAAATGTTTGATGACAACAGGAGACCAAGACATGATGAAATGACAAGACTTACTGTGCCTGAACCGAGCTGTCGTTTGCTAATCAGTCGTATGTGGTCAGTGGTTTATTAACGTGTTGACAGGAATCATGCATGTCCCTCCGTCCTGATTTAAAGAGACAAGTGGAACTCTGGGAATTCTATACGAATAGTAGTTAATAACAGACCTGGAGAGAAACTCTAGTTTGAAGTATGATTGCTAAACCGAAGCATAACTCAATCCTCTCGTTATATCAGGCACAAGTCATCGAATTAAAAATCTTGCACAAGGTTTACACTCAATTGTTCATTCAAAAGTACTAAAATTTATAACACCTCGTCTACAGAGGTTGTCGGAAACTTTCTCCTGCGTATCGAACGCGGCCAAGCTCCTCCTCTATTCGCAGCAACTGCATGACGTCCGAGTGGATAACATGTTCAGGACATAGAGTCATCAAACGTTTCAACTTTAAACAACTCTATTACGCACAAATTGGAGAAGTATTTGGACAATAATTGATACAGAAACGTGAGCAGGACAATGATACAACAAGAAAGAGATTAGAGTTTGTACCTGATTATACTTGGACAGTCGTTCACTCCGACATGGAGCTCCAGTTTTAATCTGCACAGTTGGGTGTCTAGATTCAACACCTTTATGAAGAGAAATGAAGAACAGCCGCTATGACATAGAATTTCTATGCTGATGAGCAGACGGAACACATGACGGTCCAAAGCATACAGTTCGCAGAAGTACTGTTCGGCGAAGCTTGATATTACATTGCAAAAGAAATGTACCTGACCACTCGCGAGACCCACGGAAAGATCAGCAATGAAATTATCCTCCGTTTCTCCACTTCGGTGACTGACCATAACACCCCATCCAACTGCCTTAGAGTCCAAAGCAGCTTGAATCGACTCCGTCACAGACCCAATTTGGTTCACCTGAATGCATGAAAATTCACCGAATGAGAACCAAACATCATACGGTGATTCCTAAGCTACATGTGCACGATCCAAGTGAAAGACTGTAATTAGATACCTTCAATAAGAGGGCATTACAAGCCTTCTTCGAAATAGCTTCAGCAATTTTCTTGGGATTCGTAACCAGGAGATCGTCACCCACAAGCTGCGCATCAAGGCCTGCTTGAAGTGCGCTCCACGAAGCCCAGTCGTCTTGATCGAAAGGATCCTCGATGGAGACAATGGGAAAATCTCGCACAAACTCCTTGTAAAGCTCCCCCAGGGCATGCCCTGATAGGACCTTGCTGCCATCGTTACGTTCCTCCTTGAAGTCCAGATCGTATTGACCTTCTTTGGTCAGAAACTCAGAAGCCGCGACGTCCATCCCTAGCTTCACTTTGCCTGTGTACCCCGCCTTCTCGATGGCGTCCACCAAGAGAACCAACCCCTCTCGGTTGTCTTGGATGTTGGGTGCAAAGCCACCCTCGTCACCCACATTGCATGCATCTTGCCCATATCTCTTCTTAATAATTCCTTTGAGTACCTGGTACACTGCCATTTAAAGAACCCCGAAACCAAAACTTATATGAAATTTTGTATGAAAGAAACAAAAAACAGAAGAGGGTCGTTATTCTGAGCGAGAAGACGGAGAGGAAAGAAAAGAGTGGGGAGAGATTTAGGCTAGATTGAATACCTTCGCAGCCCATTTGCATGGCTTCCTTGAACGACGATGCTCCCACGGGAAGAATCATAAATTCCTGCATTGCTAGTTTGTTTCCTGCGTGACTCCCGCCGTTGATGACATTGAGAGCGGGCACGGGCATGACGAGTTGCTTCGTGCCGGAGATCGCCTGGATATGTCGGTACAGGGGCAGGCCTTCCGCATGAGCTCCTCCGCGGCATACGCTTAGCGACACGCCCAGAATGGCGTTCGCACCGAGCTTGCCCTTGTTTGGAGTGCCGTCAAGATCCAGCATGATATTGTCAATCTCCTTCTGGTTCCTACGACATGGTGCAGTGTCTCAGCATGGTCAGATGAGAGATCTTGCAAGAGAGAATTTATAAACAACAGATGCTTGAGTTTCGCTCAACAATTGTACGCATTACCGAGTATCGAGTCCCACAAGTTTCTTCGCCAAGACATTGTTGATATTGTCCACAGCCTTGAGCACGCCCTTGCCTCCGAATACCTTGTTATCTCCGTCACGAAGCTCCAGGGCCTCGTAAATGCCGGTGGATGCGCCACTGGGAACTGCGGATCGGAATACGCGGTCTGTGACAAGGTCCACCTCCACGGTGGGATTCCCTCTGCTGTCGATAATCTGGCGAGCCGTTATGGATTTGACCTTTGCTGCCGCGTTTGACGTCTTCGTAGAGATGGTTTTCGCATCCGCGCTCGTCACTGCGCTCACTCTAAGCCTCCTTTGCTTAGCAACAGTGGCAAACGCAGGGGGAAACGACCAAACCTCGCCACCACTCCCTGTGAAGAACATGGAAGAAACCTTCGCCATCGTTGTCATACCCTGTGATACCACCATAGCTACGATCACAGAACTCGGCCAAGAACTCAATGTAATTCACGGGCGGAGATTCCAATGCTGCAGCAAAGACTGGGGCGGGGACGACTGCTTCCCGAACTAGAGAAAAGCTTCAGTAGATTGTTGCCCCTACTTGTAGGCTTGAATACCTTCAAGCGGAACTTTCAGTAGGCAGTTGGATTATTGACTAGCGTGCACGGATAGCAAGCCCATGACCAACTAAATCCTTGAATCAACCTGATTCGAAGTTGTATGGGTGACGAAAGACTGCAAGGCCGCCACAGCTGACTCAAATACAAATGCTCATGTTCAAATCAGAAAGTGCACATTGAAATCCACGCAAGTCACTGCGAGTTCGCAAAAAAAAAAAATCTCTACAATTAACAGTAAGGTTGGAATTATGTGGAAGATTAAAATGAGCAGCTTCAGAAAACAGTTGTTCAAGTGACTCAAGTGAGGGTTGTCCCTGTGGATGTGCCCAAAAGCATTCACGGCATGGTTGTGCAAAGTCCGTTAGTTATTCTGCAGTTAGTGAGTCAACTGAAGGAAGCTTCTGTGTCAACAACAGGCACCAGTTCATGCTTTTTGGAGGAACTTTTCAAATACTTGGTTGACAGACACGACTTTCGGAAGTTTTTACACTCTTTTGTTGCAATACCGGTTGGTGTGAGACCGCTGTCTTCTGTCTACGCTAAATTGAGGCGGACACTAGTGCACAGGAATTGTACAGCATGTATCCGAAACGTGTAAGAATTAAGTATACACTAAAAAGAGATAAATGTCTGAAATTGCACAGTATCTCGCCCACTTCCAAGTGACATTCCAATCGATTTTCCTGTCTAATACATCGTAGGACAGCTAAGGTTGTACTTTTCTGACTGTACTACAAAATTGAATCTAGTCTATGTTGAGAAGACGTTACATTCCAATGCAAATAACATCAGAATACATACGACACAATCACACCCACACATCTATATATATATAGCTGTGTGTATAAATATAAACTGCCTACACCAGATTATCATGAAGCGTTCCCTGGTTCCTCCTTCTGAAAGTAGCTTTCCCTAATCAATAATAAATCCAGCCATTTCACCGAAAGAATGCTAGTAAAATATTGTACATGCAATCAATATGTGTTTGAGGCGATACGAACAAATAAAATGGACTGAAAAAATATCTTCAAGATTCCTCTTAAAGTTTAATCATAATCCGTCGATTGGACAAAATGATATGCACATTAAGATTTCTACGGTTCGAAACATTTTCTCTGTGAAGCTACTTGGATGCCTTTAAGTTGATTGCTTCATCAATTCTCTTCATCACCTCAGGAGTGAGCTTGGGAACAACTTGTAAGGCTTTCATATTCTCAACCACCTGCACATTTGACCAACACAAACAAGCGAGACAAATGTTATATATTAAGAGCAGTTTCACTTTCATTCCACAAAACAATCTTACACATAGCAAGACCAAAACTTAATAAAGACTACATATTACTACCTGAGGATTAGATATAATGAATGCAACGATCATTAAGGTTTCAAACAAGGCAGACTGTCTTGATTACAGAAAAAAATTGAAATTCACAAATCCAAAGTAAATTGTTACAATGCGTATTCTTTTAGTTAAAAGTACCTGATCTAGTTTGGTGGCTCCACTGATAACAGAACTGACATTGGGATTCTTGACGCACCAAGCTAGAGCCAACTGTGCTAAAGAAGCGTCAAGCTCCTTGGCAATCGGCTTCAGAGCTTCTACCTTCTCGAGAGTCTCAGCAACGAGGGACTTGGTTGCCAGATGCTGCGCACAAACGAATTAGCTATCAATATTCTGCCCTAGAGTTACTCAAGAGACAAAAAAATCACCAGGTCTAGTTCTGCAAGGATAGCAAAATCATTAATCCCAAACCTTATAGTTATCCAGCGCAAAGCGACTGCCCTCGGGAATGTCGCCGTTCATGTATTTTCCTGTAAGCACACCAGATGCAAGCGGGCTCCATGTCGTAAGACCGACTCCATAGTTCTTGTAAAGTACTGCATACTCCTTTTCCACCTATCATGAAAACATATCCACCGCATCACTTCCCCCGCATATTACAAGAGAAACAAATCCTTTCCATCACACTAAAAGTGAAATTAGAAGATTAATTTCAAAATACAAACCAAAATAAAATCAGAGTGGAATGGAAGGAATTCAACCATGCGCACAAAAATGTAACGTAATGGATATGGTGGTTTTCTACTAACAAATAACAAGAACAGGCCTTACCTTCTCCCGCACAAGCAAATTGTATTCCGGTTGTTCCATTGCGGGACCAATCAGGCCTAGCCGTTCGGCAACTTCCCAAGCCTCCGTAATTTGTTGAGCAGACCACTCACTTGTTCCCCAATAAAACGCATACCCCTGGTCAATCACCCAGTTCATAGCTCGTACAGTCTCTTCAATTGGAGTCGAGGGATCTGGCCGATGGCAGTACAGCAGATCCACATAACTCATGTCCAAGCGTTTCAGCGATGCCTGCATTCATGTAAAACTGCTATCAACAATCTCGTCGTAGCAGTTCTGTTTAATCCATGGGTTTTGAAATTAAATAAAAAAAAAAGAAACCACGAAAACGAGGATTGCAGAAATGGATTCCACAAAAGATAATGCAGAAGTACGAGCCAACAAGAAAAGGGGCACCAACGTACCTCACTGATTCTAAAAATCCATAAAGAACGGCAACCAGATAGAGTAACACGACGAAACATATCACATAAAAACACAAAAACAACCAAACGTGACTCACCTTAACGCCTTCGATGATGTGCTTGCGAGAGAGACCTTTATCGTTAGGGCCATTCCCACCCCAGAAAAGCTTGGTGGAGATCACAAGGTCCGACCGCTTCCACCCAAGCTGCTTGATGGCAGCGCCCATAATCTCCTCCGCCTTCCCATTAGCATACACCTCAGCATTGTCGAAGAAGTTCACGCCCGCGTCCCGACACCGCTGCAGAATCTCCGCGGCCTCTGTAACACCAATCTGGTTACCGAAGCTAACCCATGCGCCATAGCTCAACACACTCACCTTCAACCCAGTTCGTCCCAGATTCCTGTACTCCATCTCAGAGAGCTCCCTTCACTCTCTCTCTCTCTCACACACACACACCCGACAAAACTCACAAACAGCTCCTCGACCAACCTCTTGGCTTCTTCCGCACAATCAACGCTCTCCCATGCAACAAAAACTTGAACCCGTGGATTGTATAACAGGAGATTGGTCAGCGAGGGAAATGTAGAAAGCAATGGATAGGAGTGAGTATGCAGAGAAGCAACGGAGGGTGGTGGGACAGGTAAAGTAACGTGAAGCGAAGCAGCAGGTGGGAGAGCACTGGCTGCCAAGTACCACTGACAGGATCAGACAAAGAAGCAACGCGATCGGGATCCCCGATCTCATTGGGTTTGTCCCCCCCCCCCCCCCCCCTCTCGCTTAGTTTTAGGGTTTTGGCTCCTATTCCCATTTCCATGTTGTTTGAGTTTCCTCTATTCATTTTATGGAATAATATTTGTTGTTTATTGTTTGGGTTCCTATTATTTATTGGAATGATACTTGTTGTTTATTGTTTAGGTTTCCAATATTCATTGAAATAATGTTTGTTGTTTTGTTTAGACTTGGTCTTTATACCTTGAAGCCTACATCAAAGGGCATGGTTCTACACTTCTACAAAAAATCTTGTTTGTACTTCAAAGGACATGGTCTTATCTATAATGTAAAATAACTCGAGGGGGACAAACTATCTTTGATTGGCTACATATCTCATTGTTTTAATCAAAAGTAAAGCAATAACTCAACTTTTGATCAATAAAAGATCAAATTCTACATATTGTTGCTATAGATTGTTGAGAATAGTACTACAAGATCAACAAGTGTGGAGCTCGAAAGCTCCCAATTGAATTTTTTTGTAAATAGTTGCAATAAATATTTTTTGTCACCAATAGCATGGATTTCTACTAGTTTATAATATAATAGAATTGTTGTTTGGTGAAATTACTAAAAATCATGCCAAAATTACTATAAATATGTATTATTTATAATATAATAAAAGTGTTGTGTTTTTGAATACATATTTTTCTTTTTCATTGCATGTTGTATTTTTTTGTGTCAAAATATTTTTTACAATGTTGCTCTTTTACACATGCTGTCCTTTCTCATTGTATATTGTATTGTTTTGTATCAAAATATTTTTCACAATTTTTTCCTTTCATATATATTGCCTTATTATGTGCCCAAAAACAAAGATTTCTACAAGAAGTTTTACAAAGGATTTTGAGTTTGTGAAGAAAAATTAATACTTGAATAACCAAAGTGATTAGAGTAGGATATAAAATAGGACTAATTATTATATTTATACAGTTTCAAATAGGAAAATTAATATCTTGGTTTTAATAGATTTTAGAAATGTAAGCTAAGTCTGATTTATTTATTTTTAAAATATAAGCACTTTTCAGCAATTTTTTACATAGTTTTATTTTCTTTATTTAAAATATATATATATATATATATACATATATATATATATATATATATATATATATATATATATATATATCACTTGATGAAGAAAGCTTAACTCAAATTCTAAAAGATGACATTTTTCATCATATATAAATTTCTTATGGTGTATTGGCTAATCTTAAAAAATATATAAAACCAACTAAAACTGACAAATTTAGAAGCTTCTTAACTTAAAACTAATATAAGTTTTGAAAATTATAGCCTCTCTGTTAGGGACATATTCTTTAGAACTTTCTAGAGAGAAGTTTCTAGAACCTTCTAGAAAACAAGCCTCTAGAACCTTCTAGAAGAGAAGCCTCTTGAACCTTTTAGAGAGAAGTTTCTAGAAGCTTCTAGAAATGAAGTCTCTGGAACCTTCTTGAAGAGAAGTTTCTAGAAGCTTCTAGAAAGGAATCCCCTGGAACTTTCTAGAAGCTTCCTAGTTAATAGAAGTAGCTCGAGAAGTTTCTAGAACCTTCTAGAAAGGAAGTCTCTGGAACCTTCTAGAAGCTTCCTAGTTAATAGAAGTAGCTCGAGAAGCTTCCTAAATAGGAGTATATATAGGGATCGAGGCTGAAGAGTTCTTCAGTCTCGACAACACATCTTTTGGAGTTCTAGCTTACCTTTCTGGTGTTGTTCTTGTACTCATCTGTTTAATCTAGTTCTCCCACTTCTTCTTGAACTTCTTGTTAGATTTCAAGTCTGTATTTTGTGTCCGTGACAGTTTGTCGAGACTACACTAACTTGAGATATCAGAGCTAGTTCTTTCTTAGTAGAGTGTGAATTACCCCTCTACTTGAAGGTATACTAGCATTTTTTAGAGGTTGTGGATTACCCTCCTCTAAACTGATACTTCTTCTGTTACAATATTGGAGTCTTATTCTTCTTGGAGAGAGTGGATTATCCCTCTTCTTGAAATTCTTAAGGCATTTTATAGGTTGTGGGTTACCCTCCTATAAACCAATATTGCCTCTTATAGGATCATTTTTTGTCCTTCTTTTAGAATGGCCGGAGGTCAAGACATTAGTATGACAGAAAGTTCGGAGTCTAAGTTAGATGCTATTATGAATGTTCTCGCTGCGTTATCACAAAGAACTGCAGAGATTGAAGGAGTGGTGGCAAGGCTTCATAATGATGGAGTATCTGGGATAGGACAATCTAAACTACACCAGCCTCAAATTTCGGCACTTGGAGAAACAACTTTACCTCAGGTTCGACAAGAACCACTAGTTCTACAACATAAAGAGCCTCGAGTTAGCCTTCCAGATAAGTTTGATGGAACACGTTCCAAGTTTCGAGGATTCGTCAATCAAATCAGGTTGATAACAGTTTTACAACCCGAACGATATCCAACGGAGGAGTCACGTATTGGGCTTGTTGGAACCTTACTTACAGGACAAGCTCTATCATGGTTTGCTCTTTTGTTTGAGAAACGATCATCCATATTAAACAACTTCGAAACCTTTTTGGAAGCATTTGCGGAAGCATTTGGTGAACACGATAAGGTTCGATGGGCTACAACAAAGATCCGGTTGCTACGACAAAGGATGCGTTCTACATCAGTCTATGCTTCAGATTTCAGGTAATTAGTATGCGACATCAATTGGGATGAAGAAGCGTTGATGAGTCAATTCTATTGGGGTTTAAGAGATGATGTGAAGGATTTACTGTTAACTCTTCCTGATCCACGAACGCTCAATGAAGCCATTAGCCAAGCTATGAAGTACGATAATCGCCTATTCTAACGTCGCCAAGATCAACGCTCAAGACAACGTATAATTCGCCATGCTCTAACTATGTCGGCAAGCAGTGTGAATTCGCATTCAGAGGTGGAAGACATACAAATTGATGCGGTACGTATCAAATCTCTTACTATAGAAGAAAAAAAGTGACGTATGGAGGAAAATTTATGCTTGTATTGCGGTGGAGAAGGCCACAAAGTCGGAAACTGCCTCAAAAAGCAAAATCGAGGCATAGTCAAGACTAGGGGAGTATTTGTTCAGGAAAACGAGGATGCCCAGCCACAGTAGGAACCGTGCGGCTGGACAATGAAATATCCCAACAACAATCAGGTTCCTTTCTTTCTGCCCAACCTGCACTTTGTTTTATAATCCCTCTATTTATCGGCCCTCAAAAACTGAGAACCTTAGCACTACTAGACTCAGGAGCATCTGCTTGTTTTTTAGACGAAAAATTTACAAAGCGTCATAAGATCCCTTTAGTACAAAAATCAAAACCTGTTCATGTTGAGGTCATACATGGGCGACTTTTATTGTCTGGTAGCATCACCCATGAATCAAAACCTATAGAAGTAACATTTAAAGACCATAGTAGTCATATTATTTTTAATATTATTAGAACACCATCAAATCCTATTATTCTTGGTCTTTCTTGGTTGGAAAAATATAATCCATTGATAAATTGGAGGTTGCGATGTCGCATTACGTGCTTTCCTGCTCGAGAACGCGCCGGTGTCGTATTACGTGCTTTCCTCCTCGAGAACGCGCCGGGCGTCTGGCTGTAGAAGGTAGTATGGAGATTTGCCAATAGTCAAGCAGTCTATCAATTTTTGACTGCTGGAATATAAACGACTGCAACAATGTACCATAAATCTATACGGATGCTCTTCGACTGCTTGTCAAAGTCTTTTATTTTGCCCCAGCCGATAGGTCTCTAGACGTTACAGAGAACCCCGAACAACCCAAACTGTTAATCTTCAATACCCCTTTGTACTTACGATCTTGTATCCACTGACTGTCCTGTTAGATTAACTCAATAAATTTCATTCACTCCGCATACTCAATCCTATAGACACCCCTTTAATCCTTCAATCACAGACGTAACTCGATTTTATAAAACGGTCAAGAGTATTCAAACCCTCTTCATTTAAAAATCCCGATTCACCATTACAACACTGACTTCAGCAGCGATTGCCTCAGTCTTCCCAAAACTCTATGAAGAAGAAAAATCCAAATTCTATGTCTTTCCTTTCCCGACCCGAAGCATGAAGCTCCTCTCTCTAATTCCCATGATCTTCAAAAATCTCCCGTAGTAAGACCTGCATTTCCCGTAATTAGACCACATTGAGTCGCCCAACCAATTCAGGTCCTATATTGGGAAAGATGCCCGTAGTAACTTGGATGTTCCCGTAATTGGGTCAAATTGGTCCTCGCGTCAGATTGGCTTAGACCCGTAGTAAGACCTGGATTTCCCGTAATTAGACTGCATTGGGTTGACCGGCCATATCAGGTCTCATATTGGATAAGAGGACCCGGATTCGATTATCGAAATTGGATCCAATTGGCTCCTCGAACCCGTCGTGTGAATTGGTCCTTCTCTTCCTGCTGACTCCCGTTATTGGAATCGAACGGAGCATTTCAGTATGCCCCGGCTGACTGTAACAGAGTGACTGAACCTGACCACTCAGTATTTGTATTGGAGTTGGTCGATGCTCCCAATATTCGAGGTACATGAATATTAATAATATTTCCCTTTCTTTTTATTATCACTATATACTCGTATTATAATACGACATCCACCCCCTCTGAACCTGTACATCCTCCGGTATGCACCAATTTACCCAATTGCTGTTTGATTCAGAATATATCCCCTACGTCTTTGTCCAGTTCGTCTTCGTCACCTTCATTATCCATATCACTTTCATCTTCTTGCTACGGAATTTCTATACCTTCATTAAGGTCTTCCATATTCATCTATGCGTGTCTTCGTTTAAATATTTTTACTCGCTTCCCTGCAATTGGTATTTTCAATTTTGTACCATCTAACTCCCGAAATGAGTAAGTCGCATTATCATGAACAGTTGTTACAACATATGGT